AGCTCTGCAACTGCATCCTGGCCCATCCTCACCCTTCTGCCCCCAACCCTCACCTCCTTGTACCCCCAATATGTTTTTCCCAATAAAAAAATATATTAAAAAAAAAAAGAACAGATTTCATGGATAGAGAAGCTGTGGTATATTCACACAATGGAATACTATGCTGCATTGGAAAAACAAGGAACTTATGCAATATTATTCAAAATGGTTGACTCTGGAGGACATTATGCTGAGTGAAATATCTCAGGCACAAAAGGACAAATACTACATGGTGCCACTGTTGTAGAATGGGACTGATATCAGGGTTGGGGTAAGACTGAGAAAAACTAGATAAATTATGATACTGAATTAAAACAGATGAGAATAATTTATAAGCAATATATGATAGGGTATTATAGTTATCATAAGAGTCCAGAGTTAAGGGTGTATAGTGGAATGTACCTAGGGCGGTGGGAAGGGTGTGGGGGGATTGTATACCAAAGAAAGAATTTTTCTTTTACTTTTTCAAAGAGAGGAACAAACTGGGGGGAGCAGGGGAGAGGTCTGGGCAGGGAGAAAAGTGCAACAATGAATGGATGGAAATCCAAAATCTCTGTAAATGTTCGTTAAAATTATTAAAATAAAATAAAAAAAGAATATATTTCAGGCAAGAAGCTGCACTGCAATCCCAGAGGCACACGGTTCAAATCCACCAGATGCTCTGCTGGAGAAGGAGGAACAATCTCCTCCTGTACCAATCAGATCTGATTTGATGATACACACACACACACACATATAATAATAAAAAATTTTTTTGAAAAGAATAGATTTCAGATACTGGACATCAATGATCAAAGGTTAGATGAACTGTGGGATGATATAAAGGATATTGTCCATGAAGAGAACAAAAGGTCATTATAAAAACATAGAAGAAAGAAAAAACTGAAAGGGATGTTAGAAGAGATTCTGCAAATTGCCCTAGAGTACCAAGAAGACAAAGGAAAGAGATGCTGAAGTAAAAGAGTGGAACAGAAAATTTTAAAGAGCAGCTGGAGAAGTAAAAAACAAAGTATTATAATGGAATGTGCAGAGAGGTGGAGAATAAATCTTGTTGGCATTTTTTAAGCTGAAAAACTGTAAAAACAATTCAAGCCTCAAGTTGCAATAATTAAAGATGAAATGGGCAAAATCTTGAATGATCCAAGAAGCATTAAAAGAAGATGGAAAAGGCAAGCTCTGGTGGCCTAGTGGCAAGAAGCTGCACTGTAATCCCAGAGGTGTGTGGTTCGAATCCACTAGATGCTTTCCTGGAGAAGGAGGGACAATCTCCTCCTGTACCTGTCAGATCTGGTTTGACGGTACACATACACACAAAATAATTAAA